AAAGGGAGTTTTTCCTTCCCACTGTCGCCAAAGTGCTTGCTCATAGGGGGTCATATGATTGTTGGGTTTTTCTCTGTATCTATGAAGCGCCTTCAGGCGACTTTTGTTGTGATTTGGCGCTATATAAATAAAATTGAATTGAATTGAATTGAATTGAACAGATCTCTTGGCAAAAATTGCCTTGTTGATGTCAGAAGAGGGAGAATGGCAAGACTGCTTCAGGCTGATAGGGGAGCAACTTAATAACCAGGGTATGAAAAAGATCATCTCCAAATGCACAACAACGTTAAACCTTAGAACAGATGGGCTACAGCAGCAGAAGACAGCACTTGGTGCCACTCCTGTTAGCTAAGAACAGGCAACTCAGGCTACAATTTGCATGGGCATACCAGAACTGGACAATAGAAGATTAACAAGACATTACCTGGTCTGATGAGTCTTGACTTCTGCAGCAACATGTTAATGGCAGTATCAGAATCTGGTTTGACCCATCCTGCCTTGTATTAAAAGCTCAGGCTGTTGTTGGTATAATAGTGTGGGCAATATCCTCAGCATACTTTGGTCCCATTAGTACCAGTTGAGCATCATCTAAACACCACAGCTTGCCTTGATGCATGCGCAATCATCCAGGTAAGTAAATCCCAAAAGGTTGATCTTGTTTATGTGGATGTAGCATTTTCAGTGGGAGAAAACATTTCGTTACTCATCGAAGTGACTTGTTCTGTCTCAGCTGACTGCAGCTTTCCCCAACCTTATAAACAGTACATTTGCACAATGACTGAAACCAGCCCACTGACAGAAAAATTGTCTGTGAGGTAAGTACCTATCATTAATTATACAATTATACCTGAGTATTGTTGCTGACCATGTCTATCCCTTTATGACCACAGTGTGCACATATCCTGATGGTTTGCTTTTTTGTTGTTTTTTTCTGGTTATTCAGCATACATCTAACTACTTATGAAAAAGTTAGTAATGCTAGATTAAAAGGGAGAAGTCAAAGTGTTCCTGCAGTAGCTTAGACGATGACCTTAAAAGGTTGCTACTGAAATTCTCTGGAAGCTGTCAATTGGAAATTTGTAAGCGATGGATATAATGTGTCCATTCTGAGAGTATTGTGAACAAATGTGAAACACTCCCCATCCCCTGTATCATCATCATTATGTGAATTTCTGCGGTCACTACACATAAAAAAGAGCAGCCCTATTTCTGTTTGTTTCAGCTGACCTGAAACTAATTGTAACAGCTATATTCAGGCATATATCTGCCAGTCAAAAACAGAAATGGACTTTGTCAAGGCCAAAAAACATTATGCACATATAAAAAGAATTTGTGCATATCAAAATACATAAAGCAGTATAACCTTTCAATAATTAAAGCATATCTCTTGGAGTATTATTCTACCTAATGGGATAGCAGGTCTTTCTGTGGCCAGACAAAGAAATTACAGGAGGTACAAGGAAGCGACTGTCATTTGGCATTGCCTCTGCTCTTTTCATGCTTTGACCAAGTGGCCTGCGGGGGTCAACCACTTAAATCCTTGCTTTGGATGTCTACTGACCTTTCCTTGTTTTCTTTTCTTTTTTTTACTCAGTCGGTCAGGACCCAAGTGGAGGGGGTAGGCGGGGTGGGGGGTGGAAATGAATGGTTCAGTGGGGCTTCCTCAAAGATTAAAAAAAGATAAGAGGTTCCTCGGTAGAAAAAAAAAATCTATGATACTTCCTTAAAAAAAATCTATATGCCAGATGACTGCATCAAGATCAATGGTTTTGTTTGTTTCGACCGATTTCCCAAAGCCGACTGATTTTTAAAGTGCCCATTCTGAGTCCAGTAACATCAATACTCTGATCCGGGTTACCCTTAGAATGAAAGACACAAACAGGATGGGGTGGTTTGTGTTTTCTTTTAATAAGACCTTTGAAGTACTCACAAATAGACTGCTTTCTATAGACATCATCTTCTGTCGCATGAAGTGACCCACAATAACCAATTTGGGAAATAGCCTTGAACAACAATAAAGTGAGCTGACGGTTGTTCAAGGCTTGTTTGAGGCATCTCGCTAGAGCTAATAAGACAGCAAAGCTTAATTAAGAGCATCATTAATGAGTGAGTGATTTGATAAGGTTTTGGGGGTGCAAAAGGGTTATTGTTCCTAAAGAAACACGAGGAAAATCACCCGAGGACGGGAAGTGACCCACATTTAGGAAGAGGAGCGATGGGGGGACTGGCACCCCTACATCCTCCCCTGGGCAGCCTGCTGATTGGTTCATTACTTGCGGTAAACACAGTTACAACCCCCCGCCACAGTACATACACATATATGCACATATAGCCGTCCCTGCCCCCTTCCAGTCTGCCTATTATCATTCTGACCGATGTTCAGATTCCTTCAGTCCTCAAATCAGACTCATCATGTTCTCTTCATCAATTCAAAGTGCAGAAAGGTAGAAATATTTATTTGTTTGGTAGAAAGTTTTGAAAACCTGCTTGCAGACAAAGAAACAATGTAAAAAAAAAAAAGATTATTTCAAAGAAAAAGAGATTTCAATTTTCTTTGGTCACTCTTGTAAAATGAAAGAAAATAATGAAGTACAAATAACTTTGCAAAGAAATGCAGAGTTACTACAAACACTGACGATAAAAAATGCAATGTCTTTCTTTTCTAGAGTGTCTCTTTTGTTTTCTTAATTTAAGCAATATTTAAACGCTATGTCAGATGCACTTGTAGTGGTACACATCCTTGAGCCAGTGTTAACTGATCTTGGATCTTGGATATTCTCCTGACTCCAGGTGTTTTTATATCCCTGCAGGCTTGTGACACCTCAATAGTGATCTGCTTTGACTTGAGATCAAAGCTAGGCGATGCATTAATTCAGACACTTACAGAGGTGGGAGTTATGCTAATAAAAAACATGTATTTCACGTTGTTGTTTGGAGGTGAATCCTGCCAGCTCGTGATGAAAAGTCCCTCTTCATGCGCTGCCATTTTATTCCCCCCTTAACGGACCTGGAAGGATACTCTCTGAAAGTTACATTTTGGCAGTGTTGCATACCAGATGATTTACCTTTACCATCTTATGTCTCTGCCTCTCTGCTCTCCACTGCCTTGTCACTCCCAGTTACTGCTGCTTCACTGAGTAGCTTGCCATTGTCCTCGGGCAGCGGTGCTGCTGGCAGCTGTGCTCAGATGGAGGAAGGGGCAAAGTGCTGCCATTAGAATTGCTGTGAAGACTTGAAAATTGGTTCAAGAGAAAACAAAAGAATACATAATACAGCAAATAAGAGGAATGCATATTGTGAGAGAAAATATAAAAGAGATGGGTGAGAAATTCAAAACACTAAAAACAAAATTATACAGATTCATATTATTCCAACTTATGCAGTTTGTACATTCAGACCTATGAAACACATCTGAGCTTCCAATGGGTATTTAAGCATTTTTCAAAACATCCATACACACCAGAGATGGGAGATGATAAGATTTCTTTCACTAAGAAAGACAAGACAGGAGAGGAAGAGTCTGCCCAGTGGCATTTGATAAACCAGAAATTTTAAGCCTACATGTAATTAATTCATATTATTTTAATATAATATTATTATTATTATTTGCTTTACCAGAGTGAAGACGCTAAATCAGTACAATTTTTTTAACACAAGCATTTGTCCTTATAATTAAGCAAAATAATTTCCCCAATGTTGCCACCTATGACACACACTTATCTGTAATGTTTAACCTAGAGGGATGACTAAAGGGATAAGAGCAGATCTATGGAGATATTCACAAGGGTGAAATGCAAATTGTCACTCCATAATCAGTCATTTTAAATTACTTTACATAAGAAGAAGAAAGAATGTCAAAGAGTGTATCTGCGCAAACACAAGAATATATTTTTCCAACTCGTCCGTTACGACTCTGCCTTAATCTTTGGTGCCCCCAAGTGTTCACAAAAAAGTGTACAAAATCAGGACTCAAATTTTCAGCCTTATTGCCTCAAATTGTATGTCTAAGGTTTATATTTCAGTAGTTGCTGATTAAATAGCCAATGAGTGAATTCGATCTCTATTTTCTCAGCTATGGTTTAGATTTGATTTCACAAAATTATACAGTTTTTAGAAATATTTACTTAATTAACTTGTTCAGTGGTTTTCCTAGAATCAATGTGAACTTGTAACGTAATTTTGACTCAGGCTTGGAACAATAAGGGTTAAGTAGATAGTTTTACAAAAATTTGGCAGGAAGTTTGGCACTAGGTTTGTTTTACTGCTAATGATTTGAAGAAAATTGAAGTTTCAGCTATTTAGCAATTACTTTTGGCTAACGTTTTGCTTCTTTGTAATTGGTTTTTATTATTATTATTATTGTTGTTATTATTATTTTATATTTACACTATATCAAAAGTGACTGCCTGTCTTATATAATGAATATTGATGCAACAGAGCATTAAAGCAATGTAGTAAATTAATAACGGTTCTGTAAATAAAAGTGTTTCATCACTCAATGACTCAATGAACATGCCTGGGCAGTAAACGCACCTGCACCATCACGTGACAAAGAAAAACTGGAGAACCTTCTCGATAAATCAGTTTAGGGAAGGCAGTTCAACAAGGATGGACAGAGGCGAAAGCCACAGCGCTGCAATTTGCAAGTTATGTGGGGAGGCCTTCACGCTTTCTGGTAGGGGTTTTAAAATGTTTTTCTTACAATTTAACACGCGTTAACACACGTTATACCGTCTTACATGACGGTATAACTTACTTCTGTTCGCTAGCTAGCAGCGGTATCACTTAGCTAAGTTAGCTAATTATGCAAATTTGTTCATAGCAAACTTTGCCGAAAACGGCTAACTGCGAACTTATGAATTTTTCAGAATGTGTATTCTTCTGTCATGTAGCGACCTAAGGAAGAACTAAATTTGTCAAGTATATTGGCCGAGCCCATAAAAAATGTTTTAATTGGGACAAGAGAAAAACATGTCTCAAATTTTAAATTTTAATAAGTTAAAGTTTGTAGTTACGTTTTCCATATGGCGTTATAAAAACCGGTATAGAAACCGGTACAGAAACGCCCTTCAAATATGCTATGATTGTTGGTGTTGCATAGCTTGTCCACCAGATGGCACTTTGCAATCTGTTGGCAGTATTTCATTACTGTAATGGTCATAACCTGTGAATGAATATATCTTATCTTCCCCTTAATAAGGTGGGGCAAGCTCAATTAAACTTTGCACGAACATCGTCACACATACAGTTTCTATGTTTTTTTTTTTAAAAAAAACAGTATTATTATACATAATAATTCTTATGATTTCATATTCAATGCGATGTTTCACTCTCCATTTGCTGTTGTTTCACGTGTCATAATCGACCTACGGAATTTTGCTCGGCCACACTAGTTGTTGTACTAGTGTAATGTCACAAGTACAACAACCTGCTGAGCAGAGCTGACAGAAAATGAAAATCAGCTGATATATCAGATTTTTAAATATATTTAGGTATCTGTCTTAGTCGACCACACGTAGTTTGTCAAAATTGGTGTTACTCCCAGATCACGTTACAAGTGTTGGTGTGTCCTAGCCAGGCCTCCCCCCCCTCCCCTTGGTGATCAGACATATCATACAGGAATTTGTACATACACAGGTACAGAATAGCTCTAAATTCATTTAGACCAATACAAAGTTTTAGGTCATAAATCAGCTGCAGTTGTCCATATTTAACCTCTGGATTAGTTGTATGTCATTTAGCTAAACATTGTCTTAAAAAACTTAACTACAATGTTTCCTGTTTCATTAATTTTTGAAGTACTGTGTCCAGAACAACTAAGCTAAATTTGGGTAAATTACAGACTAATGTATTCAACCAGTGATAACATTTTGTTATGATAATAAGATATCTGTATTTTGATAATATATGTTTTTAAGATCAAAGTTCAAGGGAATAAAAACAAAGTTTATCCCTTTTTTTTTTCTTTTTCTTTTTTCTTTTTTTCCTACAGAGGATGATATCCCTGGCAATCTCCCTCGTGTGCTTTTATGTGGCCACATCTATTGCACATTTTGCCTGCAGTCTCTTGAATGTGACAGTGTCATCAGATGTCCGGAGTGTGAGGTAAAAATTGTCTTTCCATTCAGTGGAGGCCACAACTGAGTTGTTGACAGTAGCAAATTTAAAAGGATCACTTTCATCATAGATTACTAAATTAGTGGCTTATTAATTTGTAAAGCACTTCACGTATAAATGTGAAATGATTAGTTTGTCTTTCCTTAAGGGTAGGTGTAGATGTGCAAGAAATGCTAGAAACACATGGCTGTTGTCTGTTGTAATGTCACTGGATATTTTAGTAGTTTTACATAACACACATTGTGTTCGAACAGACCGAAAGTAGCTTTTTCTTTATTTTTTTATTTTTTTCAAGGTAAATCAACAACAGTTGCTATTGATGTGCATCAAAGTTCTTCATTGCAGAAAAAGTCAAAGGGTGATTGTAAGCTATCAAATTGATCCTCCCTGCAGGTTGAGTCCACTCTTCCCGAAGGGCAAGTGTATGGTCTGCAGGAAGACAGCAGAATCATAGGCCTTATCTACACTACTAAAATAAATAAGATGAAAAGGTAAGATGCATCTCTGATTATTGAGCTAACCCACTGCTGTATCAGAAGTTAAATGCTAGATTAGATGAATCTTTATTAATCCCTCGGGTGGGTTCGTCCGGGAAATTCGGTGCTGTTAAGAATTTTGCCTCCTCTGCATGTAATGAATGTGCCATAGATTTTACAGTATCATTAGAGAGTCTTTATTCTCCCCCTGAAGGGAGGGAGTATGTTGTCAGTTCAGTTTGTTTGTCTGGTTGTTTGTCTGGTTGTTAGTAGCCTAGCTCTGTTAGAGCTAGGCTACTCTGTTAGACTGAAGTCACCCCACCCTGGGGCGCCTCTGTCAGTGCGCCCCAGGGTGGCTGTGGCTACAGTGTAGCTTGTCATCACCAGTGTGTGAATGGGTGGATGACTGGATGTGTAAGGCGCTTTAGGGTCCTTAGGGACTAGTAAAGCCCTATACAAATACAGGCCATTTACCATATTATTTTCAAATTTTGTGTGACGGTAGATACCAATACCAGTTCAAGCTGATTTATTTTGGTGAAAATAAGGTGAAGGGCACACCAAATGTGAAAATCAGTAAAAACTTTATATTACCCACAATTTTTAATAGATCATCTTCAAATTTCACAACAATATACTGGGCCTTAGGGGAAATAAGTACCTAGGTTGACAGGGCATGGAGAGAGCTGTACAACACTTTTTTTTTTTTCAATACAACGTCACAATGATGCCATAAAAGGCTGATGTCATCATTTTGTAAAAACAACATCATAAAATATGAAGTTGAGCTTTCTGCGTACTCTTGTTATGATAAATTTTCTGGTATTTCTCTTCTTAAACCTCAGATGTGACAAATCAAAGAACCGCAAAAAGAACAAGGCATCACCATCCACAGACACTCATGTCAGCTCTGATATGGAGCAGGTAAGTTTGGGTGAGGTTAGTAGTGGGGAATGAAAGTTGTTTTCACACCACATGCTGTTAATGTCAAACATGTCTGTAAATTTTCTAATTACTTAGCACACTGCATTAACACATTGACTGTGACATATATTTATTCTAGCATGTTATGTGAGATGACATTTAAGCATAGCACTGCACGTTTCTTTCTCAGGTTACTGGCATAAATGTTTGACTTATTCTCATTAGTACATGCTTTTAGTACTAACCACGAATGACTGGAAAATATTTAATAATTGTTGAAGTAAGATTTCTGATGCTGACTTTTTCTAGCCAGCTGATATTGAGAAGATTCAGAAGACTGTAGATGAGGCATTGGCTCAGGCTGCAGAAACTCTTGCCCAGCTTGTGCACATCCATGAGGTAAAAGCTGCATTCCGTACTTGTCTTTTTAAAAGTGGAAGCTGTCTTAAATGAAAACATCCAAAAATTCCTTTCTTATATACCACACTTGAAACTGATTTCATAGACAGTTGCAAAAGACATCCCCCACCCAAAAAAAGGGAAAAAACAAATGTAATGCTTAAAAGCTCTCAACTGATAGAGCAAATCATAACTAATAAGGTTTATTAGCAATAGGTCCTTAACATTGATTTTGTGGGTTAAGTGTTGCTCCCAAGTCTTTGAATGATAACTTGGGCAAATTGCCTTTATATTTTAACAGTGTCGTACAACAAGATAAAAACAACCTGAACACATGTTGTAGAATATTATCACTAACTGTTTATGTTATTTAACATAACATTAATTATAATACAAAAATGTTCTTTGAGACTGTTGTTGGATTTGCAAATAAATGTTTTTCATTTGTGCAGACACTGACGACTGGTCTGGAAGAACAAGTGAAGAGAGAGGTAGCTCGGCTGGAGATGGAGATCAAGCAAGCTGCAGACAAGGCTTTACATGCTGTTCAAAACTGGTATGGATGTTCAGTAGAAAGGCTTTGTAATGATATCCTGTGTTTTATAATCAAAAGGTAGAGAGTACCAGATATTAAAATCTTATTTAGGGTTGTCCTTTATGAAATGATTGTTGCATTGTCACATTAGCCAAGGGGTGAAAAAAGGTGTGGGTCACTACCACCAGAGGTTTCAGACAAAACCCATGCAAAGACCTTCTCCAACTCTATCATGTGACCTATTGAGGTTGCCTGACACAAGGTGCAGGTTGGGGTTTAGATGGGGTCGGGAGTTTGTCTGTGGTTTATCGGATGATATGAAACTAACAATAGTAGATGGGTCCTTTTTTTGTTGTTGTTGTTTTTACTTGCTTTAAATTGTTTCTTCTTTTAAAATCAAATCAAGGAACTGTTAAGAAAGTAAAACAGCTGAATTGCCCCCCCCTCCCCTCCCCCCAAAACAGGAAAGACGCACAGATGAGCCAGCTGACAAAACTGGAGACAAAATTCTCATCCAGCCAAGCAGCAGTGCGCCACATCCAGGAGCGAATAAAGGCATTGGAGATTGCCATGCAGATGGCCAGAAAAGTGCGCCGTGTCCCCTTTTTGGAGCAGTACTGCATACTAGATAAGGTGTTTGTTATTCTTACATACATCCTGACAGATTCTTCCTCACACAGTATATGTCAAATTCTGTAAAATTTGTAACAAATTGATGTGACTTCACCTGCTGCTTTAATAATTTATAGGAAAGAAGACAATATAGTGAATTCTGAAATATGCTGCTTCTCTTTGAATAATAGGTATTAGAGACACTGCAGGCTCCAGTGGATGACCAGTTGATTGATATGAAATGCATTACCATGGGGACTGGAATGAGGTTTGTTATTGTTTGGTTTGTAGGGGGCATATATAGAACACTTTGGTCGTGTCCAAATTCATGGGCTGCATCCTCCTAAGGACGCATTTGTACTCCGATTACGTCACAGCGACACGCCGAAGGCTGTCCAAATTCGTAGACTCCTCCGAATGCAGCCGACAAATGCGTCCTCCTTTTCCCCTAATTTGAAGGATGGGTCGGTGTGTCCTTTGTGGCCCACCATATCCCAGAATTCATAGCGCGGCCCAGCCAATTCCAGTTTTCAACAATGGCGGCCGCTACTAAGTTTTAAAATTACTCTTATTAATCTTTCTGGGTCACAAAATAAACTTTTAACATATTTTCAGGCGAGAATGTGGGTGTGTAAACTTCAAATATCTGCTCTGTTTATCAAGACATTGCATATTTGCAAAAGTGCTGCAACATTTTCGGAGACGTATGTTACCCACCAGCTCGATAGCTAGCCGTGAGCTCAAGGGTCACTGAAGCTGCCAAGAACGGCACAACTCCTGGCACATCATTTTCAGATCACCGCGGACTTTCGCAACTCAGGTTAAACGTAATATAAAAGTCACTTAGACAACCTAAAAATGTTATTGTTTGGCTTTTTTTAGTGTTTTATTTGTTTGTGAGTATATCGGTTTGGCTGAGATTAAAGTTATTCGATTAGATAAAATAAAAGTTTATTAATCCCCCGGGTGGGTTCCTCCTTGGTTTTCACACAGCTGAATAAACAGAAAACTGATCAAACAGAAGTGTGAGATGGTTGAGAATTTACGCCAGTGTCCTGTCATATGTTAGATAGCAAGGAGCAGACGGCCGAGTTTATTAAACTCCACCGAGACAGTGGTGGAGTTTAATAATCAGAAGGCTAGACCGCCCAATTCCACAGCCGTTTACTTCCGGCCTACGAGACCTTCTGAGGACCCGGCCCACGTAGACCGCGAAGGCTGGGTCCTAAGGAGGATGCAGCCCATGAATTTGGACACGACCTTTATACATGAAACAAGTTCTTTACTGTCTTCCCAATAGTATATTGACATATTAAAATAGTAACAATAATGTGTGCAGGAAAGTGCGGGAGTCTTGAGTGCATGAGTGATGTACTTGTATTTCTACATATTTTAAAACTGGGATATCTATGTATGTGTTGTAGCTGTGTTTTCCAGTTAGAGTGTCTGAATGGGAATTTAGCATTGTCCTTGAAGATGGAAGTCAGCGACCCAAAAGAGTGAGTGTTTAATTTATCCCTTATAGATTTCCACTTGTATTCATTATTCCCTTTCAAGTGATTTAAGATTTGTCTTACCTTTTTTGTTTGTTTGTTTGAGCAGTTGAGAAAAGTATTGTGCCATAGACTTCTATATGCAGAATATGCATTAATTACAGCTAATGGTCTTGTACTAACTAACTTGTACTTTACCATACATAACTGTGCAAGTCTTAAGTCACCCTTCATCTTTGAAAAATATTTTTATTAGGGAAAAAATGGGGAAATGGTTGCAGAGATTTATTAAGATGTGTAAACATGTGCAAATACAGTAAGCCCAAAACTGAGTTCCTACAATTTTAACGAGTTTGAAAGTCAACATTTGGTTCCACCCCCTTTATTCTTTGACACTGCCTAAGCTATTCTAGGCAGCTTTCTGGTTATACCTTTAAGTAGTCTTCAGGAATAGTTCTTCAGGCTTCTGGAAAGACATCCAAAGCTCTTCTTTGGATGTTGGCTGCCTTACTTCTACTTTCTGTCAATTCTGCCCCTGGTGAGGCCAAATTCATGACTCATTCAAGGTGGGCTGAAAGGTATTCTTTTCCACACTGGCAATGTGTTTAGGGTTATTGTTATGCTGATAAATGTCAATCAGAAGCTTTCCCAATGGTATTACGTGATGGTGGCATTTATAATAGACCTGTTGCCGCTGATTTTCTGTCCAGTTTTTGGTTAATTTGGCATACTCCAGCCTTTTTTCTGTTTCCTTTACTTAAAAAATGGTTCTTGACACCCACACTTCAACTGAGACCATTTTTGATAAGTCCTTGGTGAACAGTAGATAGGTGAACTGAAAGCCTAGATGCCTCTCTCCAGTCCTTTTGTCAAATAATTGCTGGATTTTTCCCCCTATTTTATAAGGACATGACTTTCAGATACTGTTCATCTGCTGTACACCTTTTTTTCCTAAGGTCTCACGCATGTCTCGGTCCCTCCAGTGATGCATAGAACATATTATACTACAACCTGGTATATGCCAGGTTGTAGTATAGTATTTTTACAATAATAGCATTTTAGGACTTGCCTTGTTATCTTTGGCATTTCTTTTCATACATTCAGTTAAAGAAATAAAGAAATACAATTGTTCAACAGGTAACAAAGTCCCTAAAGATACAACTTCTAATCGGTTCTTTGCTAACTGCTATCTGGTATGTATGGACACAACACTGGTTCATCTCTCTTTAATTAGGTGCTTTTTTCCCTTTCTTTTTTTCTTTTTATCTTTTAAATGGTTGGTTCATAGGTTTAATGTTCGGTTGCTCAAGCAAAAAACGTACCCTGAAAATGGGCAAGTAGAAGGACTGGGCTGAAAATAAGCAAAGAGTGGACAATGTTCAAAGAATACCTGTGAAAAACCTTCACAAAGCCTGGAGAACTACTGCTGAATACTTAAATCCCCACATGAAAATCTGGCTGTTTGAAAGTTTTATTTGTGGCACAATGTATTAGTAAAGGGGTGGTAATGTGCTACTATAGGATTGTGTTGAAATAGGTGGTTGTTCTTTTGTAAAAGCCCTTTAAGGTAACTGTTGTTGTGATTTGGGTGCAATATAAATAGAATTTATATGGCATTAAAACATATACACATTGTGGTTACATAGAAGTAAGTACACGTATATACTGAAATATGGGCAAAAGAAGATTCAATAGAGATTCATTAATTTTCAGTGCACTGCTGGTGCCATCTGTATTGCCTTTAATTTTTGAAGGCATGTTAACTTGTGACATTTGTTGTAGCCTGGCTCAGTCCCCACCCAAAAGCTACCTACCAGGCAGGTTTGGTAGAAAGTCTCACTTGAAACGTCCAGATGGCAGAAACAGCAGGTGTATTCCACGCAGTGACAAAATCCACACCCCACCAAAGCAGCGCCAGCAGAGTCCAAGAGCTAACAGTCCATCATCACGAGGCTCCTCTCCAAGCCCAAGAGCTCGTTGCAGGTTCAACCTTTCTCGCCATAGCTCAGCTTCAGACCTTGGAAGCCCAGATGTGATTATTGAGGACTTTTTAGATGAGGGACAAGGTGTGTTGCTTTGTTGTTAGTACATTCTTTACATTGATTTTCTTAAATGATGTTTGAGCCAAATAGAATCTTAAAGTAGAGGCAAAAGAGAAGCTTTAATCTATTTTGAAATGTTTCTTGTAGCCCTCCCTCCAACTGGGCCTGAACTGGCCAGTGACAAACTAAGAATTAACAGGAGAAGAAAACATCAGTTCTCTGCTATTAAGAGAAGTGGTAAGGAATTGTTATATAGTGTTATATCGTTTTAAAGATAAAGTCAATATAAGTAGATCAATAAGCATAATGTCAACCAGCAAAAAACAGTTGTCCTACCACACATCATTTAAAATTAACTGGTACATGTAATAAGACAAACCATTTGTTGTCTGTTTTTAGCAGTCACACAGTGGGTGGTGGTAACCCACATTGTGAATCCAAGTCAGTTCTATGTCCAGTCTGTGGCTGAGAGGAGAGAAAGTGAGATCCTTTCAGACAAAATCAACCAACTCTGCAGTGGAGATGGTTGCAGCTTCACTGTAAAGGACACAGTGGAAACAGGTTTGTGTATGTGTGTGCACTTCGATTTGTGTGGAAAATTTTACATTTCAGTTTAAACATATTCCGCATTTGAGCTGTGCTATATTATAGCGTTTGTAATAATAGCAGTATAAATTTTTTACACGATATAAGAATGTCATATTGTTTTTCTATCACAATGCCATTTTACGTGCCTTAGTGCAAACAACAACAATATAAGCTCAGATAGTAGTGTGGAGCTTATATAGGAGAGAGCAGCGTGTCAGGATTTATGAAGTGAATGGATCATGAGAATACTTTTTAATCAAAGCTAGATAATGTAAATTGTTCCGTAAACTGTTAATGAGTTAAGGTAACAAAGTGGCATTGAATTTAATTGTGCTCCCTTGGAAATGTTTGTACTATAAGAATAAAAATGACTTGACAGTTAATGCAAAGGGGATATTCAATAATTTAGGAATTTTGTAATTTGTGAACTAATTACTATTGGTTTGATATTGGGTGGAGAAAAATACATTGCAAATCATTTTATTATACTTCAGTGGTGGATTTTCAAATTGGTACCATTAGTGCATCTATTAAAAATCTTGGATGAGTTCAAATCTCAGTTAGTTCATCTGCATGTGATAACTCACTGAAGTCACCTAGGATTTTCAAATTTATGCCATCAATGCACCTACTAGTAGACAGAGGGGTTGCACTGGCAGCTTTCAATATTTTTTTTTTATCTTGCTTCCTTGTTCCCTTTTTGATTATGCTTGAGTTTTCCATATACTGAGAATTCGGGCTGGGCCATATCATACCGTTCACTGTAATACCAGTGTAATGTTGGGCAACGATAGGAAAATGAAATATTGCGATAGAATATGGGTAAAACGCACATGCGCATTGCCTTTGTTTACATACGCACATGGCGGCGATGCAGAATGAGAAGAGCGAAAGTGGATCATTAAATGAAACAGATGAACCAGAATTGGTTTGTAAAAATGCTGCAACTTCAGTGGTGTGGAACTGGTTTAGCTTTCGTCCGTCAGATACACAACAAAGCACTATTTTTGGTAGCGCATGCTAGCGGGCCGTCGTTATTACCATGTTTTTTGGAAAATACGGCACACTTAAAATCAATCCTTTGATATTTCTGAAAATTGACAGTGTCCTTTATAATCCCGTGCGCCTTATGTATGAATTCTGGTTGTGTTTACTGACCGCGAAATGATTTTATGTGGTACATGGCGCTCAAAAATCTGTCAAATGTTTCAGTACGACTTTGCTAAGCTACGAAGCCGCACCGCTTGATGGATTGTCGGAGCATTACGGCGGAGTTATACGTACTGTGCTTCAACACAATATTACCGTATTGTGTGTGTATAACCTCTCTTTAAGTTTTGTGGATATTATACTTCGTTATGCTGAGGATATGTCGGCCAATTTCCACTGGAAATGCCTTTTGGTTAAACTGTCAGCAAGGAATTTGCATTTGCACAGTTAATTTTTTATATAACTTTAATGCACTTAAAAAAGCTGCTTGTTTAAGTGAAAATACATTGATGTTTTTTGGGTTTTTTTGCACTAATAAAGTTGAGGAGTTGTATTTTGTCTAGTGTCAATTATATCATCAGTTATGTCGTTATCGCAAATTTTCAAATGTATATTGTGATAAATATTTTTGGTCATATCGCCCTGCTCTACTGAGAATGCATCAAGCCATACTTTTAATTCAGAATGGCTATAGACATCGTCGTGTTTGTTTGTTTTCTTTGATTTACGGTTTCTTTGCAGAATCCTTGATCTTTGTAAAGTGGAACGAGGGCCACTGGTGTCGGGCTAGAGTGGTCGAAGTCTTGCAGAAAGGCTCTTTAGAGCCTGTGAAAACCTGTGCAGTCACCCAGCTGGCTAGTATCCGAGTTTTTTTCCTTGATCATGGACTCACAAAAAGCATCACCATAAATAGGTACACACATACGCACTGCAGTAAACATAGAACCCCAATTCCCCCAAGAAATTGGGACATTGTAGAAGATTTTTTTGACTCTGTGTGTTGTTCATTTCTTTTTCATCTGAGAGGTGGCACATAAGTATACTATGTTTGAAGTTTTCTGTTCTTAGCTTTAGTTAATTCTGTATTGTTTGGATGAATTTACCAGCGAAGACGGGGCTACTGAGGCTTCACTGAGTGCTGTGAACAACCAGCTGAGAAAAGTGGGTAGAGCCGTAAAAAATGACTTGGCTCACTTTGCCCCAATGGTCATCAGATGTTCACTCAAGGACCTGGTGCCTTATGATGTGGTAAGACTGCAGAAATTTATAGATGGATATAGAATTTGTATTTTGAAGAATACTTTCTTGGAAGGTCGATACAGTAAAAGCTCCTTTTTCTTAAGTTTCACGTGCCAGTATTTCAGAAAGAACCTAAATGTGCTTTTTATGAGATATTTCTAATGAAGGAAAAC